ATCCTTTGGAGTCTCATTCATTCATGTATTCACAGTGTAGGAGCACAATATTCAAGTTATGCACTACTTTGTGAGACAACAACTTATTTTTTGCATCTCCATGTGATGAGATTTGCCCAGGCTTATGAATAATACCCATTGGTTGATTTTCTATTAGTTACCTCTTCTGCTAACTAGCATTTGTGTGTATCTCAATATCACGATTTTCAACTCCTTTGAAGAGCAAATCATACATAGTAGTCATCTTCAAGTATCTCAAAAGTCTATTTATTGCTTCCAAATGTTCTTTAATTGGATTATGTACTAACTTACTACACTAACCAAATATACAATTATCAAGTTTTGTGTGTGATAGATATATCAGCTTTCCCACAAATCTTTGATAACTTTCTTTGTCAACTAGACTACTTGTTTCTCTTATGTTCTATTGTTTATTGGAATTCATGGTTGTGTCAGCAGGTTTACACCTAAGCAAACTACTATTAATTTAATATATTCAAGATGTACTTTCTTTGGAATATGACAATTCCCTTCTTAAATCGGGTCACCTCTATTTCCAAAAAGTATTTGAGTGCCCCGAGTTTCTTCATCTCAAATTCTATTGCAAGCATCATTTTTGCTATGATAATTTCCCCGACTCACCTGCCAAAAAATATCATTTACATATATTGTGAGAATAACAATTTTGCTGCTATGATTGAATTTAACAAGCAATGTATGTCCATTTGTTATCATAGTTTTAACAAACCTGTCAAATCAAGTACTGGGAGATTGCTTCAAGGCATATGCGAACTTCTTTAACTTGCAAAGCAACTTGTTGGCCGACCTATTTTTCAAGCTTGGAGGTATAATCATATAAGATTCTTCATCAAAGGTCTCCATTCAAGAAGACATTTTTGACATCAAATTGATATAAAGACAAATCTTTATTTACCATAAGAGAGAGTAGAACTCAAACATTATTAAGCTTGACAATAGATGCAAATGTTTCGTAGTAGTCAATCCCATATGATTGTGTGAAGCCCTTTGGTACTAGTTTGGTTTTGAACATCTCCACAACTCAAAATTCTTTGTATTTGACTGTAAACATCCATTTGCAGCTTACAAGATTTTTTTCATGAGGTAATTTTGTAAGTGTCCATGTGTTGTTATTTTTTAAATCCCGAATTACTTCCTCAATTGCTTGTTTTCATGTTGGAACCTTTAGAGCTTCTTGGATAGAGTTATGAACATGCAAACTATCTAATTTTTTCATAAAAGTCCTGTAAGATTGTAACAATTTTTCTTAAGCTACATATCTTTCAATCGGATGATCAGTGCACCTGTGATATGAGATAAGGAATTCATATCTTTATGTTTATCAAATGCAGGAGGACTTGGTTCCGATTATTGACAATTCCTCATTTGCATGATATCCTCTACATGCTCGGTGATTCTTTTGCTTTTGATATAGACATGAAGTTCTTGATCACTGGTGTTAAGTTGAGATAGAATAGAGATAACTGGGACAATTTCAGTGACAGAGTTTGGCTCTTCAAGTGGAGCTAGTTGAGTGATAGGATTTGATTCAGTTTGAGTACCTTAGAGAAGACCCCAAATTTGATATTCCCTTGGGTTCTTTTGAATTTTAGTTTTGAAAAAAATAAGACTGGTTCTTAAAGAATGTGACATCCATAGAGTTGTATATTTTTATAGTGATTGAAGAGTATTATTTATATCATTTTTTATTGGAAGAGTAACCAAGGAAGATACATCCGAGAGACTTGGGATCAAGTTTGGTATAATGTTATTGGTGGATATGAACAAACACAAAATAATCAAAAACTTTCAATGTTAAGTTGGAAGAAAATGAGCGGATATATGGATAGGATTTCATGGGAACATTATGAAAAATCCGAAAAGTTAGGAGTCGACCAGGCATTCTATTGATGAGATGTGTGGTTGTGAGTATGAATTCCCCCCAAAAGTATTTAGACTTGTGATTAAAGATCATAATAACAGTGTTCACCTCAAGTAAATATCTATTCCTCCTCTTAGTAATCCCATTTTATTGAAGAGTATCAATGCTAGAACTTACATGGATGATATCATGCTTGAAAAGATAAGGACCAACAATGGAATTAAAATATTCCTTAGCATCATCCATTTTAAGAACTTGAATTTTGTTTTAGAATTGAGTAAGGATCATGAAATAAAAGAACTAAAATGCGGCGGCAGTTTGTTTTTTTCTTCTCAAGGAATATCCAAATAGTTTGTGTATAGTCATCTATGAATGATAGAAACCATCATGCCCCATTATATTTTTTTATTTAGGAGGGTCTTGAGACATCACTGTGAATTACAGCAAAAGGATGTGAAATTTGTATTACAGTTTAGAGTATACATGCCTGACATGTTTTACAAGTTAACATATTTTAAGTTGATAAAAATTAGACTTTTTTATTAATAAGCAAATGTATAAATATTTTTTAATGTATTTAAAATTTGGATGACCAAGACGAAAATGTCTTAATATGACTTTACTTTCAACTTAAACAAACTTAGAATTGAAACAAAATTAACTTAATTTGAACTAAAATAAAAAAAATATAACTTAATATATGAAATTATTTACCAATGAGTTTATTTTCTTTGAGCAAATATTGACCACCATGCATCTCAATACTACCAATCAGCTTCTTTGAAACACTACCTAATAATTACAAAAGTTAGAATAAATTTAGGCACATTTAAGTCATGAGTAAATTTGCTAATTGAGAGTAGATTGCAATCTAGTTTTATGACATAAAAAACAAAGTATATATGATGGTTTTTATCAATTCGACTGATTTAGTTCATGCTATTGGTGAAAATGAACCGTCAGTTGTTCGAACTACAAACTGAAGCTCTGGTGTCAAGTATTCAAGATTTTAGTTTGTTTCTTTGGACAATAAGTGCATGGGGTAAGATATCTTGATGTGCTAATAGACATATAGGTTGCTCGACAAAGGATTGTGGTACTTGTCCTAAATTAGAACCATGTCCCAATGTTTTCTGCAGTGTTTTAATTTGCCCCCTGGTGAATGGAATGAATTATGCATTATTGTTGGCTGTGAAATATTCGCACGGTTCTCCCTATTATGTCTTCCATTGTATGATTTTCAATCTATTGGTTTTCCATGCAGTTTCCAACATATTTCCTTCACATGATCAAGTTTATTACAATGGTCGCGCCATGACAATTTTTTCCTAGGCTTATTATTGTGAGAGTTTTGAATATATTAGCTGACACTTCAACAGATGATGTGGTGTGATTATTTGTCATCATTAACTTCTTTCTACTCTTATCCCTTAAAACTTCTGCAAGTGCCTCTCAGATGATTTGGAGTGGTTTAATTTTTTTCTCTCCCCCTTGACTTCATCTTGGTCTTTATTGAGCCAAAAGAGGAATTTGATGGTCATCTTTTGTTCGATAATCTTCCGATATAATTCAAAGTTAACAAAGCATTTCCAAGAATAAATCTTGTATATGTCCATTTGTAGCCAACAACATGTGAGAGTGTTGAAATATCGAGTTATAATCAACTCTTCTTGTCGTAGATCATGTAGTCTGATATCAATCTCAAATAACTCTGAGGATTATTCAGTACTAGAGAAGATTTCAAGTGCAACCTCTCATATTTCTCCAATCTTCGTGATGATGAAATTTATTAGCCATGACATAATCAAGTGGTCATCACTTTTTCAGGCCAGATATTTGGAATCTGTCATTTCAGAGGCAAAATTTTTCTTCTATGAGATAGGGGTGGGCCCAGGTAGGATCTAGGGGGCAATTGTAGATTTGTAGATGATTTTAAGATTTTTTTTTTTTTTATACACTTCCAGAAATTCTCAAAGGCCAGGCCCAAGTCCGGGTCTTCAATGGGTTTAGGAATAGTTTTTAACTGTTGAATTCAGATTTATCTGTGAATCACACATGAAAGGAATAGAGCATAAGAAATGAGAAAGAAAATGATAGATAGAATAATGCACAATAAAATGAACATTAATATGGATAATTGTGGTCTTCTCGTGCCTTTTTGACCTGTTTTGTTCATAAATGTTTCCTATTTATAAGAGAGAGGGTACAATATCTTAATTTATATGTTTGCTCTTGCTTTGATGAGGGCGTTACACGAGTATTTCTGATATTTTACATATATGAGGTTGTTGTCTGGTTGCTTTCAAGCTTAGCTGGCTAGCTTTGGCCTAGCTTTGGGTCAGCTCGGTCGGATGAACTGTATCAGTCATCTAGAACTGGTCGATCGTCCAAGCTGCTGGTTGCCCAAGCTGCGGGACGTCTAGGCTGCTATTTGAGAAATTCAATCTAACATTTTTTATTTATAAATCAATAAACAGTATACGTGGCTGCATTATAACCTCACCGCCTATTTCATTTCCCCAAGCACGAAGATGAGAAGATTTATTGATTAAAATACAGTTGTGAGAGGATTTGTGAAGTTGAAAATAAATCCGAACTAATGATAGGCTTACAAATTTCACTTTTTCATCACATAGTTCTTAAGTTCATAAACCAAATTAGCCTTCATGGCATTCCGACAGCCCTGATTGAACTGTGGAATCTCATCATTCAGGGCATTCCAAGAGAGTTCTGGTTTTATTTCTCTTGATTCTAGCATTTTACTCTGCACCATTTGGGCTATAATTTTTTAATGGGCATTCACATAAGTAAGCCCAATTCTTTTATATTTACATATCTAACACCTAAACTTTGCTTTTTTACATTTATATCACCCCAATTGTTCACATCACATAAAAAATATCACTAATATGTAAGGTGACAGATATGTAAAATTTGAAGTGCAGGTGTTAGATATCTAAATGCATAAGAATTGAGTGGTTTGCATGTAGATCTTCCTTTTGTTTAATGATTTGTCTTACCCCTTTTTTTTTTGTCCTTTTTAACTTACAGTGAATCCGATGAAGAGTATGAAGATTATTGCATTTGTATTATTTTGTAGATTCTTCCTCGTTTTCCATAGTTTCATCACGAGCAACGTGCTCTTATTACAGATTTGGATCAGACAGCAAGAGTTGGATCAATGGCCTTCACGTCTGTTGTTACCTGCAGGACAAAAAGGTAAAAAATCCTTCCATAACAACATCAACTGCCTTCTGTTTACGTTTGTTCTTCGAAATTAGAATTCTAACAACTGCTTAGAAGTGGCCGTTTAGATTACTGTGTTGTATTAACTATAAGAGAATGGCACCTTTCATTCTTTAGGGTAACTACTAAAGAAATTTTTGTTTAAATTTTGAATGTAAGGTTGTATGTAAATTTTGAAGTTTAGGCGTTGGATGTGTAAATATAAAGGAGTTGAATGGCTTGTATGTAAATCTAAATAGTTGATATTCTATCAGAATCTTAATCCTTGCAATCAAGCATACATGCAAGTACCATGAAATCACGAACAATTCTTTCTATACTATATAATTTTTGTATTTATATATATCTAATACTTCAACCTTCATATTTATTTTATAACAGCTAAACTTTATGCGTCTCACAAAAAAATATTATTATTAGTAACATTTTTTAGGTGAGAGATGTCTTTTCATGTATATGATGTGATATTATTTTGAGTTGTGACTCTAAAATACTGTGTGTCTGAAAAACTCTATATATATATATATATATATATATATATATATATCTTAGAAGCCAAATATTGGAGATAAATATACACAAAAAACTATGTTATGGATGTAAATCCCCTTTCTATAGATAGCCAGTAATAATTTCTAACACTATCTAGTATAGAAAAATTATTGCATCCAAAGCTTTGATGCAGTTTTGCATTTGAATTTCAATCAGGGTCTGTCCTGTGTACAAGCAGACCCGTCTTAATAAAATTTAATTGAATACATGGGTTAGTTTGGCTGTACACATGACATGCTTTGATTGGAGAGCTGATGCAAATTTATATCTGCAATAATTTTTCATCTAGTTTTCATCTAGTATGAGCTTTTGCTTGCAGGCTGTCAGTAGAAGTATGTATTAATTGATTTGTATTGAAATATCCAACTAAACTTAACATATTTGGTTGATTTAATTTAAATGAAATTATGTTTTGGCTGTCAACTTTGTATAAAAAAGTATTTGGATTTAAGTTAATTATGTTAATTATTAGTTTATTTTGGCATTGGCAAAAAAAAAAAAATGGTTTGATTTGATTGGTCATTAAGCCTATGAGCCAATTTAACTAAATGCATGGGTTTAGTTTTTGAAATTGCTCCTTTTTCAGGTGCCTATTTGTAAAGAGCCCAATCAATACTATTTATTTCTAACTCACCAATCATATTTTTAAGCCATATTCGCAATGTCGCTTTCTCAGGGTGCTAATAGGACTAGAAGGAATATGATTAAGAAAATATAAAAGTATAACATTTGATTTTTTTTATTGCAAAAATATTTAAAGATTTAAACATAATTAATTAATTCATTGCACTTATTGAAGGAGATGGGAAGGTTTTAGAGTCACTTCGCGTATGATATGCAGACATAATTCAAAAGAGGTTTATAGGCTAAAATAATTCAGTAGGATCATTCAATGGGATTCTACTATGAATCAATCATTAAGTTATTAATTAAATTATAATTGAAGGCAAACCAATATTTCAGAAATTTTCTAATATTTTTCCACTTAGAAAATATTAATTTCAACATAAGAACACAATATTAAAGTAAAATGATAAAAAGATGTGCAAAAAAGATAAAACCATGATCATACCATTTATTAAAATTACAATCCATAATTACAAATATAAATAAAGTAAAAAAATTGTGATGCAAAAAATTAACCCGACAGACCGACTAAACCCGAACTGGACTCGAAATATTCAGTTTGAATTTACCCGAATAATTCTCGAGTTGGGTTTGAATTAAATATCTTAATCTATTTAATCTTTCAAGTTGGGTTCGGTTGACCTTCTAACCCGAAAAAGGACTTAAAATCAACCCATCAATCCTGAATGGGCCCAAAATTAACTCAAAATTGACTTGATTTCAACCCGAATAACTATTATTCCTTATATTAAATGAGTTATATAGGTCATGTTCGAGTTAGTAGGTTGAAGGCATGTTGTGTTCTGGTTGGCATTTTTGGCCCATCTAATATTTGGATATGCCAAAACTATTTGGGTCAGGCCACTTTCAGGTCGGATCCAAGCCCAATAAACAATTTCAAGAGATGCATATGGTTCAAACCCGAAGACATTTATCATAACATGTGCTCACTCAAAATGACACCAAATATTAAAAATTCAGAAGATAGAATATGAAACTTGCAATATAAAATTTAACTGGTCAACATTGATTACTCAAATATGTTCATAGAAAAACAAATATCAAATATACAAATAAACTCATATGACAACCTTGTCTATTATTACAATGATTATTCAAAATTAGAGTTGCAAAAAAAGACTAGTCGACCACGAAAAACTCATGTTTAACTTAATAATTTTATTTTATTTCCAATTTATTAATTGATTAGTAAGTAAATAGAATGGTCTCATTGTTCAGCTCATTAACTAATTATTTTCATCTGTTGAAATAAGCTTATGGCCACGACATATTCGAATGAGCCGAACATAAAAACCATACTCATCAACAATTTCAAACAAGAGCAAAACACATAAAAATCTGAATGAGCCAAACATAAACGCAAAATAAACTTACTCAACCTCAACTCATCTGCACCCCTATTCAATAAATCTTTTGAAAACAGCTACAAAACATTAGGAAGAGATTAGTAGCTTCTCTTATCATTAGAAAAGATAATGCCGTTTTATTGTTAGTATAGGGTTTCAGCAGGTTGAAAATGAAACCAACAATTCACAATTCACAAGAGTACCAAGTTTTAGAAACGAATTGTTTAGGCTCATCAAGTGACCCCAAAACACTACTAGCAAGCAAAACATTATTAACATAAATAATCAAGAATAAAAGCATGAGCGCACTGATTTTATTTTAATCAAATCTAAAAAAAATAACTTTCACATCAAATTTCAGTTATCAATTGATGTCACCCGAAAATTCACATGATTAGACACAAATTTCGATACACCTTAGATGAGAAGTTTTAGTCACAATCAACATTATTGGGGCTCTAGTTTTAATAAATTTATAGTCAAATGGAACGTCTTAATAATACAAAACTAGCGACACTAAAAGTGATTTGATCTAAATCCAAATAAACCCAAATCAAACATTAAAAGCATAATTGAAACCTGCAAAACATTATTTGAAAGGCCAAACAATATTGTAATAGTCAAATCGAGCAACTTAATGGAGAATCAAATGAGCTCAAGATCATTCAATTTAGAAGTTACAACAACAACTACTAGAAGAAGCCTTTGACCTACTAAGTGGGGTCGGACAATTTAGAAGTTAATACATTTAAATGCTAAAAAAATGATATATGCTCAAATAAATCAACGTAAAAGCTTGGATGCAGTGATGTGAGATTTCACCAATTTACTGAAATATCACTTTCAAAAATTATAAAGAGATCATGCATCTCTACACATAGGGAGAAGAGTGAGTTGAGAGCTAAATCTAAACTCCCAAAAAAAACTTGAAGCCAACGACCATCAGTGGTTGTTGAGTACCACCAACATTTATTGTAGCCCAACTGTTGTCATACAACTCTTATTGTCTGATTATTATCCTAACATTGTAGTTGTCTAACCATCAACACTTAATGAGCATTATCATATAAAAATCTCCATTGTAATAATAGATGGGTAAACAAGTATTATAATCTCATATTCTCTAGTTGTAGAGAAGAGTGAAATTTTATAACTTCAATTATTTAGTGCAATAATTTGGCTGGATTAGGCTTCACAATGTTTCATCTTCTTGAGTTTCTTCACGTAAAAGAACTGATCATCCCTTGTCTTCTTTATTTGCGTATCTGTGTGTTGGATATTTCTAATGAGCTAACATTTAATTTTACTCTATCATTGAGAATTTCTAGCAGGAAACACCTTTAATATAAGAAGTTTGCATCAAATTACAAATAGACTATAAATCATTGCATGTTTACCAATTTCAATAAACCCTTCAATTCATTGCATATATACTTATTTAAATGGACTTTCATGTGGGAAAAAAACAATGTCTTTGCATTCAACTGTAGTAACTCTATATAAGTGCCATCATAACTCTTAAGGAATCATTTGAAGATATAGGAGAAAATGTTTTGATTGAAACTATAACTTTCCTTTCAGTAAATATTTTTGCTGTTAAATTTTCTTTGAAAATTTCAATATTTCACTTGGAGCTTTTTTTTTAATTTTTTTATTTTTGCCTTAAATATTCATTTATATCCAACAGCCATGTGACTTTGTAGAAGCTCAAAATTGCCCCACTCATTATTATAAGACATAATATTTCATCCTGCAAGGAACTAATCCACACATTTGAGACTGAACTAAAAATAGCTTCAGAATATGTCGCATGGTTAACAACTTCTCTTGAATTAATATCATTGTCATTCAAACTATCAAGATAATCATCCACTTTATCATACAAACTTTAGTAAGCGGTAAAGCCCAGAGAAATATGACAACAAGGTATTCGTTTCTTATCTTAACATATAGATTGTGAATTTTGGCTTCACATTTAATTTTGTTGTGATAAAACAGATTAAATAAAAAGTGTATGCAACAATGTTTTTAAAAGTGCACTTCATGAGCTAAATGAACTAAAACACATGAAGCCCGAGTTGCTTTGCTTTCCTGAGATGTGCTTCAAAGTGTAAAAGTTAATTTGTAGGTTTTTTTTTGCAATTTTTATTTTTTTAATTATTGCACCAAATTATTAGAAATTATTTGAATTTTAATTTGCATGTTTACCCTCAACTTTTGCCTTCAAGTTATACACAATATCATATTTTTTTATATTTTATATCAACTTTTAAGTCATACTTTAAATTTTATAATTATTAATAAATGTACTTATACATTAGTAGTTTTGTATAACCTATTAGCGTTTTGGCTAAAAAAATGCTGCTTCGCTCTGCAGTTTGCGCTTTGAAGGAAAAATAAATTCTTGCAAATCACATTGTGCTTTGTGGTTTGATAACACTGGTATGCAATGGATATATTACTTCTAAAAACGTAAGTAGGCCTAATAAAATTGTACATTGACCAAATTATATTTTGAAACATGATGGTGGAGGCAATAAAGGATTCAAGACTATCAAGCATCCATGTGAGAACAACATAATTAAACTTTTTCCATTTTAGAAAACTTGGCAATATCATCATAAGGAGGAGATATATCAAAATGTTATAAGTTTGTCATAAGACCTAGCAAGGAACCGAAAATCTTTCGACTTTAGATAAATATTTACTATAATCAAATTTGATGATAGATTAAATAAATTCAAGAAAAGGAAATGAAGAGGTGCACAACGAATTCAAGTGAGAATAAGATCATAAAGGGTGAGGAAGACCGTGAATGATATATACGATGTGAAAGTTGAATTCAAATGAAAATAATATCATAAAGGATGTTCTGTGTTGTAGCTGAAGTAAGCACCTATGAAAAAGACAAGGTAGATGATTATGCAAATGGGGGATGATGGAGGATAGTGTATTTTCTCTTCTTGAGTTAGGGTAAAGGCCAAGAAGAGATGTTGCATATGAGCTCAAAACAATAGGAGATAAGCGGCGAAGCTTCAAATAAACTAGTGTGGCATGAGTGCAGGTGAGTATGAGCGACACAAGCAAGGCAACGAGTGGGGCAAGATGAGAAGCGGGCGGGTAAGGAATGATCAGAATAAGAGGACTACAGATGGGATGACAACTAGATTATGGATTACCTTAGCTCTGATAAGACGTTAAATTTGAAAATTTTTGGTATATTTATCAAATATGTTAGGGCTTTCAAATAGACATGCACGAGAGTAAAAAAACAAATAAAAGTTAATAGAATCGCTAATAAAGAAAAGGGTCATTTACACATTTATACCACATAATTCTTATGTATTTACATATCTAACACCAAACCTTCATATATACATGCACATCACTCAAACCTTTAATATCAGATCAAAAATATCATCATTACTTAGATTTTGAAAGTGAAAATATAGTCATGCATATGTTTATGACACCAAACTATTATAAATGTAGGAAAGTTTCAATGTTAAATATGCAAATACATAAGAATGTGTGGAATGCATGTAAATTTCTCCAATAAATATACATTTGCCAATATAATAATCATATCTCCAACAAAATTATATCCCTCATACAACAACAATTGAATCCACATATCACATAGCTACTTCCAATATCAAAATAAAAACATGAAAAAACAAAAGCATGATCAAAATTTGGATGGAGTAATAATATGAAAACACCCAATAAAAAACTACCACCAACTCACACAAACCTTTCAACCAAACAATTTATTTAAAAAAAATCCAATAAAACCATTACCTCCAAACTATTCTGAATTGCTGCTTATAACCCTTGCTCCCACCCTGTCAAGCCTTGCCACCACAGCAGTAGCCTTCAAATTCCCTCCCAACAAAAAGGCCTCCACCATCTTTTCTCCAATCTCCTTTCCCTTACTCTCATCATCCACCACCGCCACCGCTGTTGGCCCCGACCCACTTATCGTGCAACCAAAAGCACCACCTTTCACCGCCGCCTTCTTTACATCCACCATTCCAGGAATCAAAGGCGCCCTCTTGGGCTCCACGATTCCATCACACGACAACGCCGACCCCAAAACACTCACATTTCCTTGAAGAATTGCAGCAACCAGCGCCGCCGCCTGGCTTGAGTTTGCCACATGGTCCTCCCTCTTCACCAACTCCGGCAACGCCGCCCTCATCTTCTTCGTCGGAGCCTCGAATTCCGGACTCACTAACACAAACAAAATCTCCCGATCTATGGGGAACTCAAGTCGCATCAATTGAAGCGGGCTGTAGTTTCTGATGAGAACGAATCCTCCCATGAGGGAGGGAGCGATGTTATCAGCGTGGTAGCCGCTGACCTTCTTCTCGGATTCGAGGCCGGCTAAAACAAGGTCGGATTGTGATAGGACTCCGCCGAAAAGCGCGTTGACGGCGACGGCGGCTGCGCGGCGCTGGAGCCGAGTCCGCTGCCGAGGGGAAGGCCTTTGTGGAGGTGGAGAGAGAGGCCGACTGAACGGACGCCTAGCATGCGCATGGCTGCCGCGGCGGCGATTCCGGCGCAGTTGAAGTTAGGGTTTCGGGTGAGCTTGGAGAGAGCTGAAGGGTGGTCGCCGGAGATGGAGGAGATGGTGATGGTGCCGGGAGGGGTGGAGGGGTCGATGGAGACGGTAACTGTGTCGCCGAGGGAATCGACGGCGCAGCCGAGGAAATCGAAACCAGGGCCGAGGTTGGCGACTGTAGCAGGGGCGAATGATTTGACGGAGTGAAAGATGGGGGAGGGTTCGGCGGGATGGAATTTGTCCGGGGTTAGGGTTTTGGTGGGATGGGAGAAGCATCGGATGGTGGGGGAACGGATAAAGGAAGGACTTTGGTGGCGGTAATGGGCGGGGGAGTTGGGGGTGAAGGGGTTCGCCGCCATGGCGGCCATGGCATCTGAAACTGCCGGAGGGGAAGAGAAAACCTATATTGACGTTATATGGGGGCATTGGGTGAAAGGCAAAATATGATGTGCTTGAAAGACTTGAATGCGTATGGTTGGAAATAAAACAAAAAATCTAATTTGTTGGATTCGAGCGCGGCTCCTTCTGCCCCAAAAGCATTGTTTGATGTCGGATTAAAATGCGAATTTGTACCAAAAAAACATTTTCTTTTCATGAAGAATATCAAGTTAAGAAATTTGATATTTATTTACACGATATTATAATTTTTAAATCATAAAGATATTATTATTATTTACTATAAAATTTATGAAAATAAAATGGAAAATTTTAAATTATAAATTTTGCAAGAAAATTTCACACATGAAAAGATTATATGTGACTTTAAAATTTTTACATGAAATACGTGTCAGAAAATATGCGATAGAGGAGCAATGAATTATCATGTTGTTATTGTACGAAAATTCAACACACACTCTAATAATTTTGAAGAACCAAGTAGGAGGAGATGCCTTGACTTTAGACATAGAAAAACCCGGGAAAAGGAAAAAAACCATGGGGCCGATTGAACTAATTCACTATAAATAGTGAGTGCATGGGTCCACTCTTCTCTTTAATTATAGAAAATGAAGTTATAAAGTTGATCGTTGTAAATGTATAACAGTGGTTCATCCATAATAGCTACAGTCTGGCTATAATAAATGATGTTCCCGATGATAGCAGGTTGCAAGGGCTATAACTGATTGTTATGGAGGCAGTAGTATGTCATGAATGTAGTGGATGATGATTGTATAGGCCGTAGTTGAAAGCCATTGTTGTAGTTGGTTGTATGGACCACTGGTAATTGCTTCAGGAGCGTCTGTTGTCTATAAGAAGTTGTACTAGAAAGTTGCAGGAGTTGTGAATCACGCAGACCATATTTGGTCCCATAGAATGTAGTGATGAGCTATGACGACGTTCATAAGCCACAAGAACCAGTCGGGAGATGCACGAGTTTTGAAATTTGAAGGCCGTAGTGATGACGTTTGTAGGCCACATGGTTTAGCAGTTGTACGAGTTATAGACCACACAGGCTGTAGTTGGTCACGCAGGTCATAATGATGAGTTGAGATGATGTCATAGAGGTCGAAGTCAAGAGTTGCATGAGTCATGAACCATGTAGGTCGTAGTTAGTCACATAGGTTGCAGTGGTGAGGTGTGGTAACATCTGTAGGCTGTAGAGGTTGGAGTGGAGAGTTGCATGATTTGTGGGCCAAGTTGGTCGTAGTTAGTCACATAGCCGATAGTTGTGAGTTGTGATGACGTCCGTAGGTCGTAAAGGCAAGAGTTGGGAGTTACAAGAGTTGTGGACCAAATTGGTCTTATTTAGTCACGTAGAATGTAGTGAGGGAGTTGTAATGACCTATGAAGACCGTAGAGGCTAGACTCGAAAGTTACACCAGTTGCGGACCACGTAAGCCATAGTGATGACGCGTGTAGGTCGTAGGAGCCAAAGTCGAGAGCTGCAAGGAGGGAGTTTTAGGAGTTTAGAGAAATTCACCGTCATCGGAGTTCATTGTTACACCGTCATCGGGAGGCATTGTTGTACCATATGTAGGGTGGATTATTACACCATCACTGGGGTGCATCGTTGTACCTTATTCAGAATGTGTCATTGCACCCTATTTGGGGAGGCGTCGTCGCACTGTGTGTGGGATGCGTTGTGGAAGACATCGTTGCACCATATGTGGGGTGTGTTGTTATACCGTCATCGGGGCGTCTCATTATATCATATTTAGGTTGTGTTGTTACACTGTCATTTGGGTGTGTTATCGCACCTTATTCGAGGTACATTGTTACACCGTCTTCTAAAGGCATCGTCGCGTTGTGTCTAGAGTGTGTTGTTACACCGTTATTGGGGTGTGTCATTTATCGCATTTGGGGTGCATTATTACGACATTGGGGTGCGTCGTTGCACCGTATTCGGGGTGCATTGTTACACAATCTTCGAGAGACTTTGTTGCACTGTATATAGGGTGTATTGTTACATCTCATCGAGGTGTGTAGTTGCACTATATTCGGGATGTGTTGTTGAATATTGTACTAGACGACGTATTAATCCACCACGTGCTTCATTTTTTTGCCTCATGCGTAGGAATTACGCAGTGCTAGTTGTAGCTCCACAAAGGACTTTGTTGTATGGAGAAGATGGCGGCCGATGATCGACGATAGTGGCCTTCAAGCGGTGTTCAATGGTGGTCAACAACTGTAGGAACTTGAAGAGTTCATCGGATCTGTGGTGCAGAAGTGATGTTAAATTTCAGCTCCTTCTCTAGGCTGGGGGGGGTAAGGTTCTATTTATAGAGCTCATATTGCAAATAAGAAATTTGGGCCACTCTGATTTGATGGCATAGAGAGGTTCCTACGAACAGAGTGTTCTGTAAACATTTAAGTGATTTAATGATGTGAAAATTGAGTAATTTTAGGCTCGACGGATTTGTCTTATTGAGACGCTCAATTTGATCATAAATATATTAGAGCTGACATTATGCATTGACAGCTTCCAAAAAGTTTTAACAGCTTGATCTGAGCTTGATTTGACTCAGATTTGACTAATTTTGGTATCATTGAATCTATATCGTCGAGCAGGTCAGTTTCACTGTATGTCTATTGAAATCATAGTTATGGATGATTTCTAATTGCAGTTTGAATGTTTCTTACTCAAAAAATTACTTAAAGATTCGTGTCATGCCTCAAGATTTATACCAGATGATGGACATTTGTTGAAGGCATGTCAACATCGAACACTCAAAAAAGACAAAAGAGCCTCTCTCGAGCAAAATAATTCATTATGTTGGTTGAAATTTAGAAAATGTGCTTATCTCTTTAATTAGAAAAGATAGGATTATTAGGGATGTACTCTAAATTAACTTTAATTTAATTGAGTAACAATGGTAAAACCATGACATTCACGAAATAATAGTGAGGCAACAATCGTAAGTCTATGGTAATAAGACAACTTAATTTGAATGGCAATAATCAAGCTACAATGGTTATTGATGATGGTAATGTGGCGGTGGTTAGTGACATTTGGATGACGAATATCAAGCAATGATGGTTGAATAACAGACAAATAAAAGTGGTTAAACGACGACAATTGTTGGCAGTGATTGTCAATTTTGGATGGTTTATAACATTATAGAGTATCTGATTTTCAAGCTTTTTTCTAAACTCAATATCAAATCACCTTCACATTAAAGTTGAGGTCTGCTTAGTAGTTTAGAAGTATCATTTTGTCTTAGCTAAATTTTCACAGCATTCCATCAAATGACCCATATAGATTTATTCATCAACCAGACACCTTAATGACCACAAAATTGAGTAATCAAAATGCTCGATTTAATTATAAACATGTTAAATTTGAAAATTATTTAATTTTTTTAATTACTATTTCAAAATTATTAGCATTTTTTATATGTTTAATTTCGAGTTATCTTGACTCAAATTATACCTTTACTGGTATCACTGAGTTTATCTTATCGAAATATTCAATTCAACTATCAGTTCGCTAAAATTGAAGATAAAATAGTCCTGATCTTGTTCTAAAAATTTTTCAATTAAAAATACATCAAAACTCGTGGTCGGTTAGATAAATTTTCTTATGACATTAATGACGAATATTATTTTTGTCAAAAATATAACTTTTCATATATATATATATATATATTTTAATGTGACCAAGACTCTTATATTTTATATAAACAAATATTAAATTATAGATATTAACTATATAAATTTAGAAAGTATCATCCATTTTCCCTTGAGAAAAAATTATTGTCTCATTTACATACATTCCACACAATTCTTTCATGTCACCCAAACTATGATTTTAAAATTTATAACACAAATCATGCATGTCACACAAAAAATATCACCATTACTAACTTCAAAAAAAAAAAAAAAATGACATGTACATTTTCATGCATAAATAGAGTGGTATAAATGTAAATATTGAAGTTCAGGTGTTAGATACATAAATGTATAGGAATTGTGTCGCAGGCATGTGTAAATCTTCCAAAATTATATCAATCCATTTCATCAAACACTTGCACCCATAATCAAAGTTCCATATCAATGCATCCTCACAACAGTCCAAGAAAAACAAATGACAAAAACCAACATCAAAACTCATCTACTTTGACAGAATCCTTAGGCATCTCATAGGCATCTCTCGGCCTCAGTTTCTTCACTCCGGCAGTGAAGCAAACTTTGTCAGACTTATAGCTTTCAAGAGAGATCTGAGAGACCTTAACCCACACAAGAACTCTCGTCTTCATCCCTTCGATGCCGGCGAGTTTCCCTCGGGATAGAAGGGCTTTGATGCGTGTCGAGTACCTGAGGACTGAAGAATCCTTAAAGCTTACCTCGCAGCAGGATGGAAGATGAACGACGAGCTTTGACTTTGATTCGTCGAATTCGTAGCAGATGATGTTTCGGGGGAAGAGGCCAGGAGGGAGGTTGTGTTCTCGAAGGAGATCCGGGAGAGATTTTGGGGGTTTGCCTGTGAGAAATTTTGGAGGAATTCAGTTCATTATTGTATGTTTGGTATCATTTGGATATGGATTTTCTGCCATATGAGAAAAGTATCATATTCAAAATAAATGAAAACAAAATTATCATATATTCTTTTTGAATATTGCCTTTGATATCACCAAGAAATTTATATGGTTAGGCATGAATCTCAATATATCTTGGGTGACAACTTTTTCGTATTCAAATTTACAATCATCCAAGGTATAATTTCAACAAAATTACTATTCAATTGGGCATATCAACAATACGAGCCCAATAACACTAAAAGTGATTCAATCTAAAGTCCAAATAAGCCAGGACCAAACACTTTTTAAGTATAATCAGAAGCTTTGGAGCATTAATTAGAAAGCTAAATGAAATAAAAATTTAACATGTTTATACTCAAATAGAACATTTTAACGAAAGATATCCAACGAACCCAATAACATTTAATTTCAAGGTCGTTATGACAATTAAATACTAAAAAAAATGACATGTGATTAAAGAAATCCATATGGAACATACAATGGAATATTTTGGGAGGTTAGCAAAATTTACTAAAATGCCACTCTCAGAATTGATAAATAGACCTCCATTCTTCACATAAAAGAAGGGAGAGTTAACAACTAAAACATAATTCATGAAGAGAAGTGTAGGTTAATGATTATATGCCGACTGTCATTGTCGACCACCACCCACGATTGTTGCACCGACCACCACCCATGATTGTTGCAACCAACAACAAATTGTAGCCACCAATTATCAATTGTTTTAACTTAGCTATGACTGTTAGCCAAATTACAATATAGACGTGATTGCCAATTTTTTGTAATCTCATCTTCCTAATTAAGAAGACGAGTGAACCTTTGTACTTTAAATTTTCTAATGAATTATTTTACTAGGGCCAGACGCCGTGAAAATTCTTTTTCCTTGTTTTTCCGTGTAAGAATTTTGATTGTTTGTTATATTTGTATGTGTTCGACAATTATAGAAAGCTAATGCTTAAGATTTTTTTAGTGTTGAAAGTTTTCTAGCACACAATCACCTTAAATTATTGACTTCTACTGAGATCAAATGAATGCATATAAAAGATGAGGATGATTCATAATATATGAGTTAGACACGCTAGGAAGATAATAGATATAACAGTGCATATTTTCTCTCCATTTGAATGATTTATAAGGTGACTTTTTCCAGCAAGCCGAAATTTGAGGCTTGCCCAAGCACCCATAATCTCGAGCAATTTTAGAATTTATGAATACTGTATATAATAAATTAGATGCTGAGATACCATGGGCCTCCGCACGGTACAAAGTACGCCATTTGATGCATGTGAGCTTAATATCACCATATGACTCGTGACTAATGAGTCCACAGCAGCCGACTAGACCAAAGCTGACAACCAAAGTGTTAGGCATGACTCATATATCGTATAAGGGACAGATCCTAGAGCGGAGCGGAGTGGACCGGAAACATTTGTCCAATTGGAAAATTTTTTCGTTAGGTGGGTTGGGGGTGCGGGGGCAACCCCCGTGATAACATACAAAGGTAATTTTGTAATTACACATTGTACTATAGGGTTATATATATGTCATGTTTGTAACCCTATGAATAATTCTGTACTCTTTTTCTTGAATCGAAAGAAAGTCGCCACTCTGTTCCCAAAGACGTAGACATCTTTGTCGAACATCGATAAATATTTTTGTCAATTATTGTTTTCCTAATTTCTCAACAAGTGGTATCAGAGTCAGGTTTAGGGCAGAAAAGTTTTGGCGCAAGACGTTCGTGGCAGACGGGTTCGGCTAGGGTAGAAAAGGGTTACGACGCACGTTCGCAAGCAGTTCAGCGAATTCGGCAACATAGGGTTCGGTGAATTCAGTGACGGCTTCGACGGTTAGACTGGCTCAGAGCTGGAAGGACAGGGTTCGACGAATTTGCGAGATGCAGAGGAAGGCTTCGTGCGACGTAGAGGAGTTCGCGAAGGGCGCTTCGACGAATCAGCGCGACGAAGATGAGGGTTTCGGACGAAGGCGTACGTTCTATTCAACCATTTGATTCGACGTAGGCAGTCGAATCACGACAGGTATTTGGCAGTTCCCTATTCTTTCGAAAAAGAGGAAAAGTTCACGACATAAGTAATTTAAGATGACAATATCTGATGCAAAATTTGAGGCGGTAAAGTTTGATGAAACCGGTAACTTCAGATTGTGACAAACAAGCGTAAAAGATTTGTTGGCAAAACAATGGATCTTGAAGACTTTGCGGACAACAAAACCAGATACCATGGAAAATGAAGATTGTGAAGAATTGCAATAACGAGCGACAACAACCATACACCTATGTCTGACAGATGAGGTTATGTATTACTTAATGAATCTAAAATCTTCAGGAGAAGTATGAAAGAAATTAGAAACTCAATTTATGTTCAAATCTCTGACAAAAAAACTGTATCTGAAACAAAAGCTATATGGGTTGAAGATGCAAGAAGACTTGATCTGACGCAACATGTGAATGTCTTCAATCAAATAATCATGGATTTATCACGACTTGATGTAAATATTGAAGATGAAGATCGAACAAAGATTCTGTTATGTTCATTACATTCTTATGAACAGTCAGTGACTGCTCTTACTTATGGGAAAGAAACTATCAAAGTTGATAAGATTACTGCAACATTGTTGACTCGCAACCAACAAAAGCAGAATGCAGGGGAAAGCTCTCATGGTGATAGTTTATATGTTAAGGGCAATCAAGATCGTAGAAGGCGGAAAGAAGAGAGTTCTATAAGGCGAAATTCCAGATCAGTCTAAAGACAAAATAATTTATTGCTACAAGTGCAAGGAGCCGAGTCATATGAAGAGAGATTATCCAAAGTTCAAGAAGCAAACTGAGAAGAAACGTTATGCACCATCCAAGTCTGTAAATATAGCGCAGAGTGACAATTCAAATTGCAGTGATGATGATATGCTTTCAGTTTCATCAACTCAGTTCATGAATGCATTGATTTTTAATTCAGGATGTTTTTATTATATAACACCTAACATGGAGTGGTTTATTTCATACAAGTTAATTAATTCTGACTCAGTCTATTTAGGTGATGATATATGCTACAATATTGTTAGTATTGGTGAAGTCAGGACTAAAATGTATGATGACACTGTTAGAACATTATGTGATGTTAGACATTCCAGATTTGAAGAAAATTTCGATTTCCTTGGGCACCCTACATAAAATTAGTTTTATTCCTAAGACATGAGGATAGGGAAATCATCAGAATTGTTAAGTGTACATTAACTGTAATGAAAGAAAAGTTAATTACAGGTAATATCTACAAATTATTGGGGAGTACAATTGTATGTGAAATTCACTATGTTGAATCATATAATGATAATACAAAACTATGACACATGCGTCTTGGTCATTTTAGTGAACGTGAGATGACAAAATTGCATAGAAGAAACTTGTTGAATGATGTTGAAAAGATGCAAGCAAGATTTTTGTAATTTTTGTGCTCTTGGAAAACAGACAGGAGTCAGTTTTATAACTGAAAAACACAAAACTGAAGGGTTTTTTGATTATCTGCATTCTGATGTATGAGAACCAACCAGAAAATCATCATTGGGAGGATCTTTGTATTATGTTACATTTATTGATGATTTCTCCAGAAAAGTTTGGGTGTATTTCTTGAAATAGAAATCTAAAGTTTTCTCCAAATTCAAGTTGTGGAAAGCTAAAGTCGAGAACCAAACTGGTAGAAAAATAAAGTATTTGAGATTTGATAATGACACAAAGGACACAGATTCATAGTTTCAGAAATTTTGTGAGGAGCATAAGATTCAAACACATTTTTCAGTACGCAAAACACCACAACAGTTGCAGAAATGATGAACAAGTCCTTAACTGAAACGACAAAGTGCTTGAGATTTAATGCAAGGCTTCCTAAAAATTTCTGATAAAAGACTGTGAATATGACATGCTATCTCATCAATAGATTACATCGGACATCATTAGGTGACAGGGTTGAAGAAGAGGTATGGACATGTAATCCAATTAATTTCGATCATTTACGAATTTTTTATTGTACTGCTTATGTGTATGTATTCGGAGATGAAAGATCGAAACTTGATGCAAAATCCAAAAAGTGTATTTTTTTGGGCTACAAGAAAGAAGTGAAATGATACAAGTTTTGGGATTCGATTGCAAAGAAGATGGTGATCATTAGAGATGCAGCTTTTGATGAATAGTCCATGTTGCAACAGAATCAAGACAAAGTGCAAGGAACAGTTCCAGTTCAAATGCAGTGCAGATGGATCTAGAACAACATCCAGAAACAATTGAGACAGTTGAAAGTTCAAAACTAACACCTGGTGATTCAAATACAGACGATTTATAGAATTACACTTTTATCAGAGATAGACAGAGACACACCAATATAAGACAGATAGACAGAGACGCACCAATGTAAGGCCTCCTAACAGATTGAGTTATGAAGACTTAGTCTCTTGTGCACTTCTCATCAACAGCGATGATCCAACTACTTTTCAAGAATCTATCACAAGTCAGGAGGAAGAGAAATGGATGAGTGCAATGTTTGAGGAGATGGAGTCTTTGCAAAAAAATCACACATGAGAGCTAGTTCAGTTTTCTGAGCGAAAGAAGACCATTGGGTGCAAGTGGGTGTACAAAGGGAAACCGACAATATCAGAAAAGAGAGAAAAGTTCAAAGTTCGACTAGTAGTAAAGAGATTTTCACAGCAGAATGTGATATATTATGATGAAATCTTTTCTCCTATGGTCAGACATACTTCAATCAGAGCAGTGCTTGCATTAGTAACTATTTGGGATATGCATCTGAAGCAGATGAATGTTAAAACTGCATTCTTGCATAGTGATTTGGAGGAGTCGATTTGCATGGAGCACCAGAAAGGTATACTCAATCTGGATATGAGCATATGTTTTGTAGATTAAAGAAATCGTTGTATGGGTTAAAATAGTCTTCAAGACAATGGTACAAGTGGCTAGACTCCTACATGATTCAAATTGACTATAAGCAATATGAATATGATTGTTGTCTATGTCAAGAGCCTTGATGATTGTTATATTATTTTTCTGTTAATGTATGCTGATGATATACTGATTGCTGCAAAGAATATGTGTGATGTCTTTGGTTTGAAAGTTTTATTGAGCTAGAAATTTGATATGAAAGATTTGGGTCCTAAAAAGAAGATTCTTGGAATGGAGATTCATCGGGATAGAGATTCAAGGCGATTGTGTTTATCTTATATGTTGAGAAAGTGTTGGACAGGTTTGAGATGAGCAAAGCAAAGCCCATGAGCACTCCACTGACAAATCATTTTAATCTTTCTTCATAACAGTGTCCTAAGACAAATAAAGAAATTGAAGACATGACAAAGGCTTTATATGTCAGTGCAGTTGGCTGCCCTGATTTGACTCATGATGCTAGTTAAGTCTGTAAATACATGTATAAACCAAGAAGACGACATTGGGAAGCAGTCAAATGATTTTTCAGGCATTTGAAGGGTACTGTACGACATAGAATTACTTTTGACAGTCAGCAGAATGACCCTTCAGTTGTGGGGTAAATTGATTCAGACTATGCAGATTTGAATGACATAAATTCTACAACTGGGTATGTGTTTACTCTTAATGAAGAGTCTATATGTTGGAAATCAACAATTCAGTTTATTGTGACATTATCTACAACTGAAGAAAGGTACATGGCAGTAGCTGAAGCTGCTAAATAAGTCTTATAACTTACTGGGCTAGTAAAGGAACTGAGTGTTGAGCAAGGTGAAATTTAGTTGCATTGTAATGGTCAAAATGTTATTTATTTGGCTAAGAATTAAGTATATTGATGTCAGATATCACAAGATCAGAATTGATTACTTCAGATAAGATACTGTTGCAGAAGATTCATACTAATAAAAATGCAGTTGATATGTTGACTAAGTCAGCTACTATCAACAAGGTCTTGCATTGTTTGGATTTATTGAATGTTTGCATTAGCTAAACAGCGTGGTAGCCCAACCCACTTTGGTACATGTGAGAAACTCCAAGGTATTTTCTTTCTCCTAAGGGACTGGATATTCGCCAAGGTGGAGATTTATTAGGTATGACTCATATATCATATAAAAACAGATCCTGGAGCGAAGCGGAAGCATCTGTCCAATTGGAGTTTTTCGTTATGTAGGTTGGGGTGAGGGGGGCGCCCCCCCCCCCCCCCCCCCCTCACGCAATACGGTACAGGGGTAATTTTGTAATTACACATTTTACTCCAGGGAATATATATATATATGTCATGTTTGTAACCCTAGGAATAATTTTGTACTCTTTTTTTGAAATAGAAAGAAAGTCGTGTTATGCTCCCGAGGATGAATGCATCTTTGTCGAACATCGTTAAATATTTGTGTCGATTCTTGTCTTTCTCCACCCTAATTTCTCAACACCAAGCGTGTTCCTAGTGTGATCATATAAATTAAACTAATTCAAAATGTGAGATGCTCAAACAGGGTACAAATGCATTCTATTAAAATGAACATCGGTTGCTTATTGAACTTTTTTCCTCCGTGAATATTCTTGCTCTACTTTCTTCCTCTGTACATATATATTAACTTGAACTCATGGTTTCCTTTAGGCACTATTCATTCGAGATTAAAGAAAGAGAGGGAAGAGAAAGAGGAGAAAGGGAAATCTAAAGGACCAATAGAAGTAGATCTGGGGAACTTCAAGAATTCTCTTCCTTGTAAGGTAGGGTCATAAAAGGTGTCAATTGATTAATGAGCTATAAAAACATAATTCTAATATGCTATCTTGCATTGTTGACATAAGCCGATCTAATCCACGCCAAAAGATAGAAACCTTCATGGACAGGTTGATGCTGCATAACAAAAGCCAAGCACAATTCATATATATTATGGGAAGAAATACACAACCGGGCCACCGTCTCATCCGCACTTTTCTTTTCACTGGTTAACATTGCAATTTTAATTGATGAAAGACTGAAAATTCTATTTTTCAATAATAATTTATTTCATGTTTTTTTATGAATATATATGATTCTCTATAAGTGTTGATATCTGAAAAACTTTCCTTGCATAAAAGCTGTTTTACTTGATTTTAACTCTTCAGGTTCATCTCATAAGTTGAGATTAAGTCCCTTTTATCATATTCCATATTGTCGAGTGTTATCTCCTTCTAAACCCCACTTGTGATCACAGAGTGCATTACTTAAAAACAAGCTAAAAAGCAGCATTTAACCAATGAAATTACATTCCTAAACAAAATGAGCACAAATAGTAACAATTATATAAGTCCAAAAAGAATGAAAGAATGTATAGATTTCTCACCTTTTAGCTTCTCAAATATCCACTTCGCCTTCTCTTCCACAGCACCTGAGAAACGCTGGCAATTTCAACTAAGTTTCAGTAATTGCAGCAAAATAAATATGCCAGCTACTGGAACTGATGTAATCACAAAAATCCTAGTAAACACGAGCCAAAAATCAAACTGTAACTTAGTAAATTCGAGGTTCGTTTTCCCGGTAGCCATATTCTGAAATTAATTTCGGAATGAGATTACTAAATACCATGCCACAGATCTGCACCATAAAATAAGATAAAAAAAAAAATCCAAAAAGAGTAAAATAAGTTCGGTCTAAAACGCACAAAGCTAATCCGACTGATATGCATCCATATTTTTTAAAAAAAAAAAAAAAAAAAAAAAAAAAAAACAATGGATTAGCGTCCCAATTCATTAAGATTTTTTTGAGCTAGAGCTTGCTCAGTGAGGCATTACTCTAAAAAAATTAAAACGAAAAAAATAAACTCTCAGATCTAGGATTACAGAGAAACTCGTTAAAACATACCACAAAAAGTTAAATCGACAAAAAAAGAAGATGATCAATGCCCAGAATGCGCGGTTCCGAATCAATTAGAATGTATTGTACAAATGTTATTAGGATGAAACCCCCCAGCAACTTAAAAAAAAAAAACAATAAAAGCTCACAGAAAGATCCTCGCTGATGGAAGAGATCTCCTCTTTGGCCTTCTTTGATAGCCAAAAGCTCCCCACCTTTGTCAGCGCCTTCTCCATTCCTCGTTTTCTTCTCGAACGAGAAGAAGCTGAGAGAATGGCGTATCTCCTCTCCTGCTCCTCCTGCTCCTCCTTCCCTCTTCTGTCACAAGCAAAAGAACAGAAATCCTCACTGAGCGTATAAAGCGGCGTTCGAATAATCGAATAAATAAAGTAATTAGAAATTTTGGAGCTTTTTAGGATTGCAAAAGGCTGTTTGTTTAGAACAGAAAACAGCCGTTTTAACCAGCCACACCCATTGTTTTGTGTGGGCCATTGTAACGGATGCCGATGGTCTTGATTAGCATGCGACGATGGCAAAAGTTTAAAAATAAGATTTTTTTTTAAGTTTTATAATTTCAATAGATTAGTTTTAAATTTAATTTGTGTAGTAGTCATAATCGCCCAACCACGTCAGGATCTGTTTTCTGCATGGATCCATGTAAACTGAATCGCCGGCTTACTTGGTGATATCATTTCCTTCGCGACCCTTCTTTCGCCCTGTGAATCTCGTCTCAATCATCAAATATCTTGTTGTCAAAATCTCTCTCTGTTTGTAAAAAATATATTACGTCAGGACATCCGCACGTTCAGACAATCAACCGTAAGGCGTCACGTCGCCCGACACCGACGTGATGCCCGTCAGGCCGTCCGTACACACTATTGCTCTTCAACTCCTATTAAGTAGATACTCTAATAATATTATTGGTATAATTTTTTCTTGTTTTTTTTATTTATTGGCTAGATCAGGTTTGTAATATTTTATTTTTAGAGCACTTGAATCCTATTTTAGAGGAAGACTTTTGAAGTTACAATAAAGAGTGGGTTTATTTTTTAAGTTTCTTTTGAATTTGATTTATGTTTTTTGGGATGTTTCACATCAAAATATTGTTACTTAAATTTAACATAAGTACGTTAAAAAATAAGTGGAGTTTTTGACGTATTGATGCTACAATATAAGGGTGTCAAAAATTGACATGACACGCTAACACTACTAGAACTCGACTCGAAAAAATCTAGGTTAGGGTTGATCCAAATATTTTTCCAGTCAGGTTCAAGTCCGAGAATTTGACCCATTTATTATTCAGGTCAGATACGAGTTAAACCCGAAAAATCCAAACATTACCTGAATAAACCGAAATTTCGGATCAAGTTCGGGTTAATGAGTCAAGATCGGGTTTGGGTCAGGTTCAGATCTTAATTTTCAACCAGTTTATTATTCGGGTCGGTCCCTATTCAGATTAAGTCATTTTCGAATTTAACCCGAACCGGACCTGCAAACCCGAATTGACACCCCTACTTACTATTTAATTACATATCTAATACTTAAACCTTTGTATTTACATTTAAGTACTTGGTAGCACCTCTTTATTGAAATCTTCAATAAAAAGAGCCAGATCGAGCGCGCAGCGCCCTGAAAGTATCCTCTTCATTTCCTCTTCTCTCTATCAAAATCTTAAAAGAGTTTTTAGAGTTGATGGCATCAAATTTGTATTTATGAGACATGGAGATTTAAGCTGAATAGTTATTTTTTTAAAATTAAAGAACATTTGGAAGTACTTAGTAAAATCTGAATGAATTAGTTTAAAAACAATGAAATTCATTCACTGACATGTTCCCTCTAGTATCCATCTCAAAGGGATTTTTAAAAGTTTTTATTTTTCTTGTTGGATCTTAACTATGACCCATACCATATGTATTTTTTCCTGCTTATGTTTAAGCTGTCATGTTCATGCTAAAGTTTGTAATTACAGTTACATACACATTTTAGATTTCTTTTATAGATGGTGCAACATCCGCAAAACTGAAAATTATTAAAAAAAAAAATGGAAGGACCACCAGAGAGGTTGGAAAACACAAAAGAGTGTTGCAGCGCATCACTTTCTGGTACTGGTCTCGTCCTCGAGAGAAAGGTAGTACCGATACGAGCTCCTATAATGAAGAAATGTCATATGCACATCTCGTATTCAAAATAGGGCACGTAGCCAATGCTAGGCGGGGATGTGGTACGTACAGCTAGGAAAGTAGCAAAACGACAATCAATCCTATTGAGAAATTAGGGCGAAGAAAAACAAGAATCAACACAAATGCAGAAGAACACAAAGATTTAACGAGGTTCGGCAAAGATGCTTACGTCCTCGGGAGCAGAGCGGCGACTTTTCCACTAATCCAGAATAAGAGTGCATGATACAGAATAAAATAACCTATGATTACAAACAACATTATTTATAACCTTAGAAAGAGCTGAAAAAGGAAATCTTGAGTACAATATGTTATTACCAAATTACCCTGTACCGCACCCCCAACCCACATAAGAAAACTCTTCTGATTTTGACAGAATCATCCGCTCCGCTCCAGCATCTGTCACTTATATGATATATGAGTCATACCTAACAAATCCAGGGAGCTAAAGACATATCTTGAACTGAAGTCGAGACATGTATAGAAACTTGCGCGGGGTATCCCGCTGAATTTGCAACAATCTATTCCTAGCTCTCTGGACCTTCCTGTCTAATCGGGGAAAAGTGGAACTGCAAGGGGAATCGGAACAGAATAAGCTTATACAGAAGTCACACATGCGACAATTGTGATAAATCTATTGCTAATAAAAGACCCACCTGCCTATGGCATGGAGATCTATGAGAACATGGAGGGACGAGTCTGGAAAAGACCGTCAGGTGCTGCGGCGCGTCGCTATCAGGCACCGACCTCTTTTTGCAAAAGAGGCTACAGCAGAAATAACTCGATATGCATGTCTTTCCTTTTAAGGGGGAGGGCATAAAACAAACGCCTCAGAGGGCATAAAAACAACTCTATATACATATCTTCTCTTTTAAAAGGGAGGGCACAGAGCAAACGCGTCAGAGGGCGCATGAACAGCTCAATATGCACGTCTCCCTTTTTAAGGTGGAGGGTATATAGCACACGTCTCCCCTTTTTTAAGGGGGAGGACATAGAACAAATATCTCGTAGTGGGTAGGATTACATTAGGGAATCCCAAAGAGGTGCTTTAAGAAACCTAAGGTTATAACACCCACTGTAGCACATAAAACACTTGTAAAAATGAAATAGAGTTCCCCCGGCGGTAGCGATCGTGACCATCATTTTGCTCTTTCGCGTCACGGGGCAAAAATAACAACGATAAAAAAATAAGGAGAGGTTAAGAAACCAATCACAAGGTACAACGACTTTGGTGCACACAATAATGCGATAACCGAATTGTCAAGGATGAGAGAAGGACAAAATGTGTCAAACTGCTAACCATAACAATTAACGAGTGGACTGAAAGCCACGATCTCACAAAAAAGTTCGACAAGTGACACTGCGACGAAGAAAGCTAGGTCACTACAAATGCAAGCAAAATCCCTTAAAAAGGAAGAGAAACGAGATGAAGAAATATTTGATCCAACCACCACTGAGAAGTCCAACCAACATCTCCAATAATATCAAGGACATCCAGAAGCTCCCCATCTATTATCAATTATCGATAGACAAACTAACTCAGTTGAACAAACTAGTTCTACCTACCCGAAGCTAAACAAGCTTAGTCGGCCGAGGCAAAAAATAGCACTAATAGGTTCATACATACCTTGAAACACTATACAACACCCATTAAAACTGGGACAAAACATATCTTATCATCACATTGTACACGCCCTATAAACAGAGAGATAATTTCATGAACAAGGGATATCCAAATTAGCCAAAAAGAGTGAGAAAGAACAACAAGATTGTTGTTCACATACATACACATGCTCTCCCCTCCTCTCTCATTTCTTATTCTCATTTTCATGGTGGACAAATCACCATTTAACAAATACATAAATTTTATTTTTTATATTTGTATCATATAAATCTTTTATATCATATATAAAATATTAAAAATTTAAATTTTTTAAAAAATAAAAAATATATATCATTGTATATGATAAGATGACAAATATGTAAAATTAAAATTTAGGTGTTACATGTATAAATTCATAAAGAATTGAGTGGGATTCTATGCTGATCTCAAATCAGGTTGACGGTTAAATCCCATCGGAGCGTGAGATTGCATAAAGACATAGACAGGTCAACATATGGATTGCTTCCACAAGAAATTAGGCATTTACCTACAAACCACCGAATTAGCATGAATTTACATGTGTAGCCCCCTTTTTTTTTCATTCATACCACCCAAACCTCTATTTAACTTTTTAAAGTGAACTATTCATATTTCAAATATTTGAATGTTATTAATATAATTAAAAACATATGTGTGTGTGTATATATATATATATATATATAGATGTTTGTTGAACTCAGATTTGCCCGTGAATCTCGATCAAGAAATGGAGTTTGAGAAGGAGAAATGAACATACAGAGAGAGATTAAGTATTTTTGTATGTGATTTCAACAACTCCTATTATAATTAATGTTCATCTATTTATAAGAGGAGATGATTAGTGTGAAATGACAATTATATCCCTGATCTTCTTTAATTGATCGACCTCCATTCGATTTGTTTCATGACATGCAATTTATTAGACGGGTCGTCTTCTTGTCAATCAACTCCTCGAGCAGTTTTAGCTGAGCAATCTCTAGGTCAGTTGACCTTCCTAATCAATCGTTGGATTAATCTCTGAACCATATGTCGATCAATCTTCTATCGAAGTAGTCTTCGAGCCGGTCAACCTCTGGTTTGGCTGGCCTTTGGGTCAGTTAACTCTTAGTTAGTCGTTTGGCCAATCTCCGATCTCTGGTTTTCTCTGTTTATTCTCATAGGACTCTATTTGGTGACACGTGCTCCCCTCTAAGCTATTCAATCGTGCGCGCGCGCGCGCGCGCGTGTGTGTGTGTGTATTCAGAAGGAATGATCAGAGACTATCATACGAGCCTTGACAATCTCTCATGCGCCTAAGAATTCGAGTACCACACCCTACACTCGGGGAGAATCGAACCCCAGACTTGAGGGGACTTACAACTGACAAACAGATGCCCGAATAACAAATGTGAGTACGAGGCATAAAGAGAGAGAAAAAGAGAAAGGAATAACATGATGAACTCTCCCTTAGCTGAAGGCGTGATTTTGGTTAGAGTTCTCATGCATTTTAATGATAGGAATATGAAATATCACTCACTTTTAGGATCAT